GGAACAATATACATGGTATTGACTCATCTGAAACAATATACATGGTATTGACTCATCTGGAACAATATACATGGTTATGGCTTTGTTCGGAACAATATACATGGTATTGACTCATCTGAAACAATATACATGGTATTGACTCATCTGGAACAATATACATGGTTATGGCTTTGTTCGGAACAATATACATGGTATTGACTCATCTGAAACAATATACATGGTACTGACTCATCTGGAACAATATCCATGGTATTGACTCATCTGAAACAATATACATGGTATTGACTCATCTGGATCAATATACATGGTTATGGCTTTGTTCGGAACAATATACATGGTTATGGCTTTGTTTGGAACAATATACATGGTTATATGGTGAGAACAATATACATGGTTATGGTTTTGTTTGGAACAATATACATGGTTATATGGTGAGAACAATATACATGGTTATGGCTTTGTTCAGAACAATATTCATGGTTATGGCTTTGGTGAGGAACAATATACATGGTTATGGCTTTGTTTGTATATAAAGCCAGTTACATGCCCTGCTCTGTTATACTTAATTAATCACAGGATATATATGTATATTTTCTGTGTTGTGTTAACTTGTTAGAATCTCACGTTACATGGAAATTATACCTTTCAGTATAACTCATTAATTACTTTGACAGGTACCCTTTTCTAGTTTGTGTTTATTGTGAAAGTTTTTGGACTCAAATAACATAAAAAATGTTTTTGCAAGAGGACTCGAACCCTGAATAGTATAAGAAATCTTGTTTTAGTGATTTGATAATAAATTATTTATGCTAAAATGGTTATAAGTTTGTTAATTATAAAAGAAAATCTTCCCAGAAAGTGTTTTTCTTAGTTAGTATTACTTATTAAAGAATTTTTATTATTCAAATGATCCATAATCTGTTCAACAGATCATTGTAGATCAGTTTCTTGGGACTCGAAGGTGTATTGTTTTTTTAAGGTGATCCTGAACTGTATGGTTAGAAGTCTAATCTACAAAAATATCTGAATCTGTGTTATCAACTTCTTCATCGTAGCATTACATTTACTTTGAAGTATGGCAGTCTTTAATCTGTTCAGTGATAGTTTAAGTCAGTAAGATTTCATACGAGTAAAGTTGTGATGTTATATTCGCTCTTCTTTCTTTTTGTAGCTTTTAGAAACAAGAAGCTATTCTGATATGAAAAATTAATGTTATGACCTCAGGCTTAAAACGTACAAAAAAGTGAAATTTTGTTACAGCAGTCAACCTCAAAACTGTTTTTGTGTAAGTGTTCTAATACCTCTATAGGTAAGAGGAATCATATTTTTAAACAGTTTCTCTGTTTACAAAATTTTAACCAGGTTAGTCTTGAATTTGAGAAAACAATAGTCAGTCCTGGAAGCTCGACAGCAATCAAGCTAACAGCCAGTCCATTGTCACTTTGTGGAGTTGGCGCTGTTGATAAAAGTGTCCACTTACTGAAAGAAGATAAACAGCTTAGTGAAGACCAGGTGATTATATGTTTGTCTTTTGTTGTGATTTCTTAGCTCTAGGAACAAGTTGTTTGTTGTTAGTATTTCATAATTTCAGTTGATGGGTAACTCTTCAAATGTTATGTGTGCATTGAAATATAACAAACTGTCTTTGTTATGATAAATCATTAAACATGCTAGCAGTATGTATTTGAGGTACTGCTTTGTTAGTCAGATGGATACATGTGTATGCTCAGTTAATCTGTTTGTTGAAAATTTCATGTTTACATGCAGACGTGGGTGAGTAATGCGTATACCTTGACATTAAAATAAAATATGTATGAAATAACATCAGATTCAACAATATACAGCATTGTTTCAGGTGAGTCAATACCATGTATATTGTTCTCACCAAAGCCATAACCATGTATATTGTTCTTATTTTTAGAAATTAATACACATTCAAAAACTCTCCAACAAGTTATTTAGTCTAAGTAATGTTCTTTGAAATTCTAATAAAATAACCTTGTTTTTCAAACAATTCTTGACTGCAAATTCTGCAGAGTCCGCAACAGTTTCACCTTTTTTAGAAATTAATACACATTAAAAACTCTCCAACAAGTTATTTAGTCTAAGTAATGTTCTTTGAAATTCTAATAAAATAACCTTGTTTTTCAAACAATTCTTGACTGCAAATTCTATAAAGTATGTCTATGTATATATTTTTCAGTGCTTAAAATTTTACAATGGCATACATTACATTCACATTACTAGATTTTAGCTAGGTGCTTCAATGCTGAAACTTTTTCTAGACCCCAGGACTTTGGGATTTTAGTGAATAAAAATTGAAATCATGGCCAGGATTGTGAATCTTTAATTTACGTGTTATTTTGTCTAATATGAAAAGTAATTAAACTACCATACAAACTAAATGATTAGAAAATAATGCAAACACGGGAAATTGGTAAAACTTTAAGGCTTTGCACAAATTCTTTTGCTATGAAAACTGTTATTTTACTTTATGAACACATGAACTGGATTGTGCTTCTGAAATGGTTGTTCCATATCCAGGAAGTTCAACTTGTGTTTTAGCTTTTACTAAAGTTTAATCAAGAAACTGCATTGGGTAAAACTTTCAATGTAATTAGGTCAAGTATTACCACTTCTAGAAGAAAAAAAAATCAGGGGATATCAGTGAAACACCCTGTTCTGGACAGGGTTAATACAATCTCCCTAGGATTTGGGGAGTCCTACTAGCCTACAGGAATGATATTCCTAGAAATACAACCCTAATTCTGGCTCTATTTCTTATTTTGAGTTTTTTTCTGGTAGCTTTTTAGTAATTACCATAAATAATAAGTTAGAACTATTATTATTCTCAAAGAAATATAAGAAAGATCCTAAGTAAAAAAATTACGATTATTTTCACCAAATATAAATTTCTTTTGCTAATATCATTATTTGAGTAAAGTGGTGAAGAAACTAAAAACTGTCACACCTTTCACTCATTCTTAAGTCTTCTAACTAACCAGGTCTGCTTTACCATATACATAGGTGATGGTGCAAGGGAAGATTGTTACCCAAGGACAGTATACAAAAGAATGTCTCGTAGAGAATGATCAAACTCCAGTCATCGATGACACATACCTTCCTCAAGATTCTAGTGCCATTTGTTTGAAGTTGGAAAACAATCAAACCTGGGGTAACCGTGTGACCATTTCTCCGTTCGTTGGCCAAGCTAATATATCTTTTATACCACAGCCTTCCATGGCCCCCATAGCTCGACTTTTGGTTTACTACGTTAAAGAGGATGGTGAAACTGTTGCAGACTCTGCCCAATACACCTTTTTACCTTGTATACTTCTTATTGTACCATGTTTGACACCTTATCCAATACACCTTTGTACCGGGTATATTTGTTACTGTACTGGAACATGCATGTTTTACTCACCCATTACACCTTTTCTTTATATAGGTGTCAGTAGTTGGACTATCTTTTTCTTCTAATTATTGTTTCTGATAAGTAAAATTATGTTATACTAAACATTAAATAACTATTTGTAAACAAAATTTAAAGCAGGGCATAATGAAAAGCACATAACAAAAACACATCTGATGGTGGAATGTGATGTATCAAAAACACACCTGATGGTGGAATGTGATGCAACAAAAACACACCTGATGGTGGAATGTGACCTATCAAAAACACACCTGATGGTGGAATGTGACCTATCAAAAACACATCTGATGGTGGAATGTGACCTATCAAAAACACATCTGATGGTGGAATGT